CATTATTGGCGAGTGGCTTGTATTCGGCACGATGGCCACCATAAACGGCCGCACCTTATGGCCAGAGTACCTCATCGGTAAGCTCCGCTCTGTGAAGAGCGCTCTATATCTGGTGTTCTGACTTGCCGCTCCAGATTTTGCCTGGGCAATCGCATTCGGGGTCGTCTTCCAGTACTTCTCCATTGCTCCGATGGCAAACGGATATGGACCGACGGTTATATACCGCGCCCTGAAAGCTGACGTCCTATCTCTCGTCTTCTTCGAAATCGGGCTTTTTGGCTGGATGGCAATTTTCCAGGTAGCTATTTTCAACTGGAAGCTGGAAATGGATACTGTGACGTACTGGTGGATGATGCAGGTATGTTGTGATACTGCCGTGCTAAGCGGTCTGAGATTGGATTATTGCTGAACAGCGGCCAGATCGGAATGTTTTGTGGCCACTGGACAGCGGTTCCGATCAACTACTGGTTGATCAAGACGAACGTGAAAGAACCGTGTGCCTAACCGGCCGATTTTTGGCGGTACATATCAGCGTGAGTCGCATCCTTGCATCCTCGACGTACGGCTAGCAGAAAATATAACTTGAAACGCGGCTTGCTTGGACAAGAACCTTTCAATGCTGGACCTTAAAACTTCAAACTGTACTATGAAATTATCCTGTAAATAGACCTAACATTGCTAAGCCTCAATCTAGAACAGTTCCTCCTTAACATCTTTTAACTCCTATACCCAAAATGGCGATATCAATGCGAATGGTCCTATACAGAGTGGACACGTGAAGCTTGTGCTAATCCATTTCGGCGTCGTTAGGGCCATAGGTGATTAAATCGCTAGTTACGTCTCCGAAAAGGGTCTATCGAGCCAGCTTATCCTGTGTAGAAGTGAAAAATATCACAATACCAATGTCCTTCGCCTAGATACAGCAGAGCACGGTATTATGACTCATACTTAGGATAACTTAACCTCTTCCTTTACATTTTTGCAAATAAGCGTTCCTTTGTTCTTGCAATCTTGAACATTCCTAGCTTCAACTATACAACCGCACATGGTCCACTGTCGGAGGGGTCACGTACCTATATGTTGAGGATGGGCCAAGGTGCGAACGGCTACAGAAAATAACGAGTCGGTAATGTGGAAGATTGCCGAAAGGGAAGGGAACAGGGAGGTGACGTTGGAGAAGCTACAGGTCATCAAACGCTAGGCAAGATGCTTAGCGGAAAAAGCTGCGGTATCTTGCGCCGATCACCTGTTGCTTATTATATATCCTGGATAATCGCCTCACGACAACAACTGAGCAATGAAATTGACAGACAGCACTAGTAGCGAGTAGACAGTAGCAAGTATCTCAACCAATTTGAACCTTGAGATTCTAACAATTCGGGTTGCATAGGTAGAGTAGCTTCAACGGCCAATAACGATTTTGAGTCAGGGACCCGGCCTGCGTTATCAGGTCTGCTTCGTTCAGACGCGTGGGGTTCCCTCCGTCGTCTTTTTCGGGGCCGAGCTCTACGATCTAATGGACCAAGAGAGAGCTAAGCTTCTGTAGGCATTGCGCCGACAGAGATGTTAAAAGATGGAGGTGCGCAGCTGTCTATCAGTTGACTTTTGTATAATACCACGTGCCTCTTGGCAAGGTGGTTAGTGCAGTGTTTACAATATCTCAAGAGAATCAAACTCCTCTATAACACCGACACTAGAATTCCGCTAGTCACCGGCTTGAGTGCCTTGGGCGCGGTAGAGGAAACGTTTACGAAGTTCGCGTTTTCGAAGTAACAAGCGCTTCCGCGATCGGGTGAATGCTGTGTGCTTCCGTTTCCTTCAGCGCGCTGGCAATCGGATCTTTATCCCAGCTATCCGTTATTGGCGAGTAGAAATTGGTGATTTCTGATTATATGCTCTTCCACCCTGCGCCGTATGTCGCTGCGCCGCCACAGAGCCCTCGTGAACTGCGTTCTCCGTGCAATTGGAAGTGTTTGGGAACGGCATGCACGTTGACGTAGCGAGAAATGCCCCACCGCAAAAACAGCGCGCTTGCTTGCCACTTGGCGCGCTTAAGTGGCTCCGACGTTAGAAGGCTGATTCATCTCGTGCACGGACTCACCTCGTGCACGGGTCTTTCGTCCTTTGACAAGTGACTGTAACACGAATAACTCGAGCAATATAGCGTGGAATGAAGTGAATCAAAGCGCATGTGATAGACAGCTCTCACGAGGAGCGTATACGGGGGTGACTTAAGCCAGCAGGCGGCTGCTTGGCCGTATGGGCCTGCCTGACCTGCTGGCTGGTAGATCGGACACCACTGCCAATTTGGGTGGTAAGACGGACATAGCGGCCACTTGGCTGGGTTCTTTTGGCATGTGCTCACGCCTAGGCTTCTTAGCTGAAGCCTGGAGCAGTTGCTGGAGCTGCTTGGTCGCGTTGGCGGCATCTTTTTCGTTCTGCTTCCGCCTATCTTCTGCCTCCTTAGCGACACGCTTGCTCTCGAAGTCTGCAGCACGCTTCTGACGAGCCTGTACCTTTGCAAGTTCCTTAGCAAGTGACTGTGCCTTCTTAGAGTCTTTGGCGGCTTTGCTTTGCAGCAGACTCGGCGAGTTTGGCGGTCTCTCGCTCCTCCAGCGTCTGTTTCATGTGATTAATAAGCTCCGTGTCAAAGACGAGCGCACCACTCGCGGTATCTGACCGCAACTGCTCAGTCAACGTCTTGTTACGTGTTCTTTTCTTCTGTGCTTCGAACAATGCGCGTCTCATGCTAGAAGTCTCATGCTGTAAGACGCTAACATCCGCTGCAAGACTGCTGAGTTTGTCCACGAATGAATAGAGCTTGACGGCGGTGTGGTAACCGACGTTGTACTTCTCGGAGATATCGTTAACAAAGCGCACTTGCTTGCGTGCCTTAACTGCTGCAGGCATGTTGTCCGAGCTGCACGTGCCTGCAGTCGTTGGTCGTGACGAATGAGCCGACGTCATCTTGTCAAGAACTATCGACGGATTGAGCGGCGAGATACCGCACTTCTGGAAGGATGAGAGGATGTTCTTGGCTGTAAAGGAGTCTCGGAACGCAGGCTTGAATAAGCGGTAGAAGTCGGCCTTCTTCATATGGCTAATCCCCTGCGAATCGGTGATGAACTGCTCGAGTTGCTGCCCATAGCGCACGGCGAGAGGCGCAAACAGACCAACGTCTAGAGGTTGAAGACGGTGCATGGAATGAGGCGGATAGACTGCAACCATAATGCGTTGAGAGTGGCACCAATCCAGTAGTCCTACTGTGACGTGGCTGCCATGTCCATCTATAATGAGTAGTCGCCAGCTACGACCGGCCTTCTGCTTCGTCTGCTTGTCAAAGACACGCTTCATCCAGTCTAGTGCTATCTCATTGCTCGTCCATCCATTAGGTGACGCTGCGAAGGAAGCGTCGTCGGCTCCAAGGTCAAGATCTTGTACCCAGCTCTTTTGAATCTGACCAGGTTGGCCGGCATAGATAATGAGAGAATGGAGTGCTGTACCATCCGCACACACGGTTGCAACGATTGCCATCCACTCTCTATTGCCGTCGCAGTAGGCTTCAGCAAGTGAGCCCTTGTTTATAGCTGCCTTGCTGTAGACTCGCCGCATCTTGACCCCGAAGCCTATAAGGAAGCCTTTTTCGTCCATATTGTAGATATTATGAGGCTGGATGTTATAGGACTCTATCTTATCTTGCAGGAGGCTGAAGTAAGCCTTATAGGACACCTTTGAGTCTGCTTTGAGCCGTTGTCTGTCAATGGACTGTAGGTAACCGGACGAGAGGTGTTCCTTGTGACGCGTGCAAAACCTCTGAGGGCCACTTCACTGTCTGTCTTCAACTATCTCAAACGTCAAGCTCATATGCAATCACTTCGCACACTGTGCATGCTTCGACAACTCCCACGAGCACAAAGTCTAGTTAAACGAGCACCACCACACACAACAGCACGCACAATGTCTCTCTTCCCACGAATCGTTCAGAACGAATTTGCACCGATGTTCCGGATGCTCGATCAGTACGCCGACTACGCAAACCGCATGCCGGGACGGGGGTTCAGCGAAGGCCTCCAATCTTTCAACGCCAAATTCGTTGTTAAGGAGACCAAAGAAGCCTACGAATTACATGGCGAGTTGCCTGGCGTCGAACAGAAGGACGTCACTATCGAATGGCAGGACTCCAACACAACTTCCATCAAAGGCCGCACCGAGCATTCCCATGAAGCAGGAACTCCGCCAGCTGGATTCATCGAGGAGCCCCAACATCAGAGCCAGCTGACGGAGAAGGAGAACGGACATTACTCAAAAGCCACTGTGGAAGATGAGGGAGCGAAGGCATCATCCTTCAGCAACGAAGGAACCTCTGTGGAAGCGTCGAAGCCGAAGGAGACAAACGGATCCACATACTGGTTTTCGGAGCATTCTGTGGGAGAGTTTGCGAGGACATTCTCCTTCCCGAAGCCAGTTGATCAGGACAACGTCGAGGCCAGTCTGAAGAATGGTATTCTCTCCCTTACCGTCCCGAAGACTACCGGCAAACAAAACAAGCGCATCGAGATATCTGAGTGACGGACCCTTTCCAGACTACCAAATATTCTTAGATTGCCCAGGATGTCGGGAAAGCATCATGTCCAAACCTCTGCGGAGAGGTGTGGGGAGGTGGTCAGAAGTTTGGCTTCTACGGTGTCGACGGTATGATTGCAATGGAGCATGGCGATCAGGCTTGTCTCATATCCTGGTGACTGAAGGAGTTCTTCGGTTTATGACTCACGATTTTGTAGTAAGCTGAGCGGATGTATAGTGTAACCTGTATTATACATGTTTGCGACAGCTCATCCACCGATGCCATTTATCTAACAGCCTCATCGAGCTCAAGGCGGAAGGCTGGTTTCTCGGATGGTGTGATGGAGTAGAGCGAAGAACGATGTCGCAAGCCTGTCTAGTCCCCACGAGCTGACTTCACGCAATGGTCTGATCCCATTCCGAAAGCAAATATCAGTATCCAGGCCCCAACCATGTTGATCTACGAACCACGGAGCCAGCTTGCAAGACGCCTTGGTCAATCGAGCATCATGATATGTAGGGTTCGCAGATTTCTGCACAGCGTTGCTTGGTCTTATGAGGTTGGATTTTGCCGTTGTCCGGCCATGGGTTGGGGATCCTCAGTGGCGTGTATTGTCTATCTCGCATGAACTCCAAAGGACGGGACAAGAAGAAAAGAGGTGTGAAGAAATCGAAGAAACTTGGTGAATGTCTATATATACTGAAGGTGAAGTTGGGAAAGGGTGTGCTTGGCTTGATGCTGGACGATGGCTCAGCCATCCGTGCACACTAAGCATCACAGACACGATCTCAGTATCTCCTCCGATGACAACTTTGCATAGATTTGACGAAGCATAGGATCCTTGAGCTGAACAATGGCGCAATCCGCCAGCTGCTGCAACTCCTCATGAAGTCGCAAGGGGAGACGCTTTCGAGGTTCAGTAAGCTGAAGACTAACACGCTTGTGGTAGATCTGCAAATGTGTTCTGATCTGAGAAGGTATCACGGCGTACTGGCAGCCCAGACATACAAGGATGCGACGCTTATGGTTGACTTCGAAGAGGCGACAGAGCTCATCCATCTGTGTGGGGAGTTTAGTGGCACGTTGCTATTCTACGTGCGGACAGGCCTGCTTTTAGAGATTCTCTCTCCTGGAAGTGATTGCAATCCTGTGCTTACAGGAGGACAAAACCCAGTACGACGTGCTATGCTCGCTCGCCTGTCTGTATGTGCCCGCACGATAGTAGTTTGAGAAACGCACCTGTGAGCGGAGGTTGTAAGGGGAGTTGCAAGGGTATGCTGTGGAGTAAACCCTAGTATTCGACGCCTCGTGGAATTGGAAGGTGTACAGAACATTGTTTTACCGTCGCACCAGCGTGTCATATAAACATACTAAATTTCGCGTACATTGAGAACAGATTCTTCTCTAACACAAGCCCGAGATTTGAACAATTCTGACGTCGTTCAAGCAAAGGAATCAGCTCGGGTAGAGCAAAGGAATCAACTCTTCCGCTTCGATCCTAACCCTAACTTCTCACCTGATTTCAAAGGAGTCGAGTCGATTCGGCTGTGGCATAGGTGCGCAGTAACTATAAATTTAGGTTCTCTTATAGATATAGTCCTAAGATATACGGGTTAATAAAAGAGTAATCGAAGTTCGCTAAATAGAGCGGTTCTAAGTATAATAGCTAAATAAATTTTCGAGGATCTTATAACCTTAGTAGTACAGTACTCCATTTCAATATATTTACGCTATCTAGTTTATTAGTACTCTTTTATAAGATTAGTTACTATAATATCTACGATAATAAGTCTGTAGATAAAAGAATATCGACCTAGGCGTTAGGCGTATAGTATATACTAAACTAAACTATAGTACTAAAGCCTCTTCTCGTAATTACCCTTTCGATAAAGATACGAAAATTTACCTAAAGTAAGAGGCCGGATTTATAGTATATAGAACCCTTACTTCCCGTAAATAAAGTTAAGATACGTATCTCTAAATCCTCTCTAATATAGCGCTAGACTAAAGCTACTATAGAGTGTAGTAATATAAGACCTCTAGACAATTATTCTATAGTAATAGACTAAAAACCGATATTATTGTAATGCGAGTACGCTAGACAAGCGCTATCCTCTCTTTAGACCACCTATATAACTATGTATTGGAACGCTATGTTGACTGAGATCACGTGACATAGTAGGTTGGTACCCAATTCATCACGTGATGACCTTGCCCATTTAATTGTTCTGAGCAGACGTCGTTAGGTATATACCAGTGGCTAGCTGCTTTGGTGGTAACATTTTAACAAGGCAAACGGATCACAGTGATCCATTGCAGCATTGCGTGTCCTTCAGAAAGAGACAGAGGCTCAGAGGTGGCCGTGTATGCACGGCTTCTGCACTATTCTCGATCATGGCGAGCCTTCTGGGAGCCCTGGTCGTTGAATGAAGTGCTCAAGTCCTGCGTACTCAGTGCCCAGAAACCCACGGACGTGGCTATCCCAAACACTCACAAGGAACAACCGGTTACAGAAGGAGCGACTGCCACAAGCCTGGCCCCGTGTAGCTACCCCTCCACATGAACTTTAGTTCGGATGGCTTTGGATTGGTCGACGTGCCCTGGATCCCTTTACTTACGTTCCTCAAGTCGCCTGTCTGGTGTTCCGCCGACACCTTCGCCGGACCTGCTCTCGTACGAAGTCGAGTAGCCCAAACATGGTACCGAAAAGCAAGAGGAGCAGGAAAGTCACCCTTGTGCCCACTAACGCCGCATAGGAGGTTAAGGATGCCTACGATCTTGGAGAACTCAGTGTTAAGGTGGACGCTGAAGAGCAGATCTACCAGGATCTGAGAGAAACACCAAGAGAATGTCTGAGCAGGAGAAGAAGTCCTTGGAGCGGTGGACAGAAACTGGGGAAGCGTACAGGAAAGTCGTGGCCAGTGGAGGGTTTGATCTCAAGGGCGGCGAGGGTGGAGATGGTGCGGAGGATGTGGAATATGAGGTTGTGAGCGCGGGTTGTGGACGGAGAAGACGATAACCAGCGAGCGGATGCATCGGTCGACGTTTCTCCGATGACGTCTCTTCGATGGCTGAGTTTTCTGCAACATTGTTGGTCCTGACGTCCTTCTATTGGAATCAGTCGTAGGATTGAGAAGGCCGCACGTTACCAGATTCCCCGACATGCCGTGCTGTGTCGGCGTCAAAGCCTCTAGCTCCCTGGCCAGCGAAGCGCTCAGATACAACTGCATGCACTATTATGACTTGGCGCAGCAACGAGAGAAGGGTAAGTCTAGACTACTTGTCAAGACTTCCTGACAGGTTCGCTGATCTGCCAGTCGACGTTCCTCCCCGGTGCTCCTGGTACCCTGACATCCATCTGCCATTCCTCCGACCCGACGCAGACGCGAAGTTGCTTTACCAGCCGATAGAATGTGATCGCACGACCCCATCGAGATGTCATCTCGGATACGTTGGGATACTCCTCGCTTTGGTTTCCCAGAGGGCGACTCTCATCACCGCTCAGTAGTAGTTCAGGCGACCTGCCTGCTTCTTGCATCTTGTAGTCAAGCAGTACCTCATCCAACTGAGGACTTTTACCCTGTCGAGTCCCGTCGTCGAGGACAGGCCCAACGTTCACAATGTCGAACAGTGTCGACACTAGCGACACTATGTTACCTCCGTTGTCATCGACATCGGCGTAGAAAGGATGGCAGGAAGATGCCATGATCACCACTCTTCGGGCATCGGGCAGTTGGCAAGGAATGCGAGTCCAACTTTGCCGCACACTGAGCTTGCGATCGAAGACGTAGGTGCGGTTGTCCTCGTCTGCAAGGTAGGCAGTAGACTGGACGTAAGCGCTCAGTTCTATAGCCTTCAGCTTGCAAGTAAGGATGGCATTGACCCATGGGACAAACAGCTGGTCGCGCCTTCCGATGTCGTCGCAGGGAAGTCCCCATTTTGCAGCATCTGAGTTCTTGTTCATTCTGGCGTGTAGCTCAACGGCTGGTGGTAGGTGACAGACGTAGTCGTAGATGTGCTGTCGGAGCTCGA